TATATATATATATATATATATAAAATTTTGCACAAATAATACATTGTTGATTCGTCACGTAAGAAAAAAGGTTTTGCTACCATTAGAATGTGTAATATAATATTTTGTTGATAGTATGAGTGTTTTAAACGGCGTGAGCGTGGGCGAGAAGTATTATCTAATACGGGACAAAGCGAAAGCCCTAGGCCCCATTGGTATTTAATTTTTAATATTTTTATAAATATATAAATAAAAAATACATTAAAATTTAAAAATAATTCAAGAAAATTATAAAATTAGTGTGTGTGTGTGTGTGTGTATATATATATATATATATATATATATATATATATATATATATTTATTTATTTTTTATTTTTTTACATGAAAAGTGAAAGACGTATAGATGCATTACACCAATAAAATGACCATGATAGAACACACATTAAGTTATAAAAATAATATTCTAGTGACAATAAAATAACGTTATTGTTTAAAAACTTTAAACTAAATAATAAATCACAAATACCCATCATATAATACAAAAAGCCAGAATAGAGTCATCGAAATAATATCTAAACTTAAGCGATACCAAAAGATAAAATTAGTATATATATAAATAAATAAACATACTAGCATGTGCATGAATTATACAAAAAATAATAATATTTTTTACTTGGAAAGTGAAAAACGTATAGATGCATTACACCAATAAAATGATCATGATAGAACACACATTAAATTATAAAAAAACATTCTAGTGACAATAAAATAACGTTATTGTTTAAAAACTTTAAACTAGATAATAAATCACAAATACTCATCATATAATACAAAAGGCAAGAATAGTGTCATCGAAATAATATCTAAACTTAAGCATACCAAAAGAAATTCTAAAATCAAAAATTAATTTGAAAAGATTATGAATTTCGGATAAACAATTAAAAAAATCTTTGGTTTTTGAGATGTTTAGTTTGAAAATTTACTATGTGTTAACTTTTAGATATTTAAGTTAGAAATAAAGACTTATTAAGCAATTTTTGCTAAAGTTTGTCAAAGTTTGCGGGCTTACGCCCTAAATGAACGTCTAGAATATTGGGACTTACGCCTAAGCGAACACCCGGAATGTTGAGGCTTATACCCCATAATACTTACGTCCCACCAGTATGTTTTGGTGCGTTTTTGGTACGCCTCGGCCCAGAGTTCACCGCAGGGCTCGTTCATAAAACGCTTTTTAAAACAATGTATATTATTACTCACATTACTATTACTCATATAAAATTTCAAGAAAATATATATTATTTTATGTGAAATAAGACTACACGTTTTCAATATCTAACGATCAAATGCCTTGAAGTAAATAATTATTGTATAATAATTGTTATATTATAACTTATTGCACAGCAATCCAATATTTATATAGNAATCCAATAATTATATAATCAAGTTAAACAAGTTTAGAATGGGAGATAACTGAGTGATGAGGTATATATAAATGTATAAATGAAGTCAAAACAGTCGATTATTTTGCACTCATAATTAGATCCGATCTTTGGGGCTGGGGGGTGGGTGGGCAGGAGGAAGAATAATAATAGAAGGAGTAAATAAATAAATAAAGAAACAGAGAAGAAAAGCGTGCCCCGAAACGCCAACAGGTTTNAGAGAAAAAAAGCGTGCCCCGAAACGCCAACAGGTTTCCCGTCCAGTGTCCACGCGCGTTAAAGCAAACTCCATTGGGAATTGGGGGATTTTTCTTTTCCCTGCTTTAATTATTTGCAATTAATTAAATAAATTAAACTGATAGACTGCTTTTAAATTGTTTAATGGTTTATTTAATTGTTTAATTGTGTGGGTGTGCTTCATTATTGATGGCTTAGTGGAATTTGACATTAATATCATATATTGTGGGATTTAATGACATTTCAGTCCCCTCATTTATTGCTTCTTCTGATTTGTTATTGCTATTCAGTATGAGCTTTTATCGGCTACAGCCGATTCGTTTTGTTTAATCTACAACCGAATACTAGTCGTGTTCAATCTAAGACTTTAACAATTTAATTATACCAAACAAGACGTGTTTCTTGCACATTTATAATATGTTCTTACTATTATATCTTAATATGACACAAGAAAATACATATTTTGTGCGTATGAAGTGCATTTACAATATAATACAAAACATATTTTGTACTTTCTCAACTTGTCAAATATATAGTTGTCAACAACAACAACTCATTGTAATCCTACGAAATGAGGTATGTGAAGAGTAGAGTGTACCCACACCTTACATCTATAAAAATTGTTTCCAATAGACCCACATTTCAAGTGAAAGAATATGTAGCTATCATGTAGGTAAAAACACAAATTATGACTATAAAATGCGTACGAATTAACATAATTGGTTTTTTTTCCTTGGGATGAACCGTATAACTTTAGTAGAAAGAAGTTTATTCAAATTTGATATAAGTACAAAGTTAGTAAATTCATGACATGTGTCATTCTCTCTACATGAATCATCAATCATAATAAACCAATATGTATTTTGCAATTAATTAAATTGAAAAAGAAAATCTACTAACACTTACTTAAGTTTGTACTCCAGGTAAATATAATGCCATATAGATCATTTAAATTTTTTGAAAACTAACAAATTTTCAATATTATAATAAGACACTTCAAAATTAATGGATATGATTAATGATTAGCCAACACATCTCCACATTGCCTTCCCTACACAAGAATAGAACCCTTTTTCTTTATTCACTTGGTATAAGATCTTTTCTAAATGAATCATTTGCCCTTAGACTATCTTATTATAATTTGTGACAAAAGATCATCCCAATGATAAATTAGCTAGATTTAATATATTTTTCGAGTATTTTCAACCCACCATAATAAAATTATTTAAAGCACAATTAGCAGAAATAGTTATTATAATAGTTATATCAAGAACCTAAGTTTGTCTTTTTGTTAGAACTTTAGTGGAATGGGTCGTCGAACTAAATAGAGAACGAGGAAATGGGAAAAGGGTCCCACTATAGTTGGGAAATTAAGTGCATTGCCCACTCAAACAGTGAAAGCTAACCCAAAAAAAGTAAAATAAATACGATTACCAACAAATAAAAATTAAAAATAATGTACTAATAAATAAACAAGAGACAGAAAGGGATGGACATCCACGGAAGCAATAATGGAAGTGAAAGTATAGAATCGTGGCCCAATAGGGAAGCCGTGAAATGAACTCCACATGTTTGTTTGGGTTACTTTAGGAGAACCTTAGCTACTTCCAAAGTAACTAGACAAAAGTGTTGTGTGTTTGTTGGAAGGGTACATTTGTAACTTTAATACCTACAATAAGCTAGACAATAAACTAACCATGGTTAAATCCCTTCAGTTGACTGGAAGTCTGGAATATACATACAGCGCAAGTAGCTTTCTTTCATATCGGATATTTCCATAATGTTTTCGACCGTAGTTAATTGCTACGTACCACTTTGCCGGCCAATATAGAATTCTCCTTCTTTTGTTTCTTTTCTTTTTTTGCGCTACATTTTTGTGGACAATCTTGCACGGACATAATTTTGTAAGGACATTCTGGGGCCTTTTTTCCATAATAACAAGTACAAAGAATATGTATAAAGTTGAATTGTTTGAAAGATTTAAGTAAAAAGATAGAATAAGGGATCGTTTAATCTGAAATTGTAGTGCCATGGGTTGTTAATGTAGTGAATGATAATACCAGAGTTATAGTGTCATGAATAATCAAATATGTATTGTTATATCGAAAATTGCACGACGTAGGATTTTTCTTATATTTAGATACTCTTACTCATGTATTGTTAATATATGTGTAATGATTACATTACATTTTATCTTTTATGAGATAATTCACATATTATTCATATATATAAGTTATGTTGGAATCGGTAATTGTCACGATCCAATTTCACTTATAGGTCGTGATGGCGCCCAACACTACGGCTAGGCAAGCCAACTTAATAAATTAAGCATTCATTGAAAAAATTTAAAACCAAGAGAAATAATAAAACCCAAATTCTACTAATGTGTGTGCCAAGACCCGGTGTCACAAGTGTATAAGCATCTAGTAGATTATACAAAACCTCAAATACTGTCTGAAATAAAATAGATAAAATGAAAAATACAAAGAGAGACACCAGTAGCTGCAGAACGACTCAGAAAGGCAACTCACCACTATGCCCCTGGATAGCGTGGGTGTAAGACGATAGGTCCCCACTAGTACTTGCCTCAAGTCCTGCACAAAAAGTGCAGCAAGTGTAGTATGAGTACGTAAACAACGTGTACCCAGTAAGTATCAAGCTTAATCTCGAAGTGGTAGAGACGAGATGACCGACTTTGACACTCACTATGGGTCAATAATAATAATAAAAATATAACTAGGATATTTAAATCAGC